CTCTCTCTCTCTCTCTCTCTCTCTCTCTCTCTCTCTCTCTCTCTCTCTCTCTCCCCCCCCTCTTTCTCCTACATCTGGTCCCCATCTCTCACATCCTCCCTTCCCTTTTTCCACGAAAACAGAAAGGAAAAAATAAAGCTGTTTAAACAGCCCCAGATTTGGAAAAGGGAGGGAACAGAAGAGAAATAATAACACCAGATCTCATTTTAAACCAAGACTCCCCTCTTTTTCTGTCTCTCCTCCCTCCCACAGACATCCCTCTAAGCCTGTGGTGTTAAACTCTAATTAAAACAGGGGCACTACCATTCATAAAGATCCCTAGGGGCCACATATGGGCAGCTAGGTGGTGCAGTGGATACAGGATCAGGCCTGGAGCCAGGAAGACCTGAATTCAAATCCAGCCCCAGACATTTAATACCTGTGTGACCCTGGGCAAATCACTTTATCCTGTTTGCCTCAGGTTCCTCATCTGTAAAATGAGCTGGAGAAGGAAATGGCAAACCACTCCAGTATCTTTGCCAAGAAAGACCCAAAGGGGGGTCACCTCAGACACAACTGGATAACAACAACAAATGGGCCAATATTGATTTAGAAAACCACATATTAGTTTTATCTATGTTCTAATGTATTTTTATTTATTTTGTTAAATATTTTCCAATTACATTTTAATCTACTCCTGCCATACGAGGAGAGTTGCTGGCCATAGAGGCATATGTTTGACATCTCTTCTCTAAACTATCCCTCTGTCCTTGAAGTCTCTGGTTGAGAATAATATCATCAGTCAACAATCATTTATTAAAAACACCTATGTGCCAAGCACTGCACTAGATACTTGGAATACAAACACAGATGTGAAGGAATCTGTGCCCTCAGGGAATTTTCATTCTGTCTGGAAAAACACGTACTCATTACATAAATACAAAATATATGAAAAGTAAGTACACTGGGGAGGGGAGGGGAGACAGGACTGCAAGGGACAACCAGCAGTTGATCAGATCAGAAAAGACCCAATGGAGCAAATGGGGCTTGAGCTAAGCTTTGGAAGACACTAGGGATGAGACGTTAATGAAGCATTCATCTCTTCTTCATCAAAAAGGTAGGGGATTTGGGAGCAAAATGTTGCATCCACTCTTGCAGATACAATTACTGTCCATCTTTTTTACTTAACTGGTTTTCCTGGTTATTAAGGAGGGTCTAATTGTGTGTGTGTGTGTGTGTGTGTGTGTGTGTGTGTGTGTTAGCAGGAAGACTTACATCCTGAAATGACTATGATTTTTTTTAAAAAAGAATCAATAAAACTTTTGTAAAAGTTTGTTAGGGAAGATACATAATCATTTCTCCTTCTCTCTGAGGTGGAGCTGGAAATTGATTTTTAGCCCTTCTCCTTTATCCCCTTGCTACCCTATTCCCCCAACTTAACCTGCTATTTCTTCAAGCCCAAGACCCACTGTAAACTATTTCAAGTGAAACAATTAAAGACTTTAGCACCAATGGTTCCCAGCATTTTATTCAACCACAAGGAAAAAAAAAACCCAGCTCAGAGTAGCTCCCTTCTCTTCCCAGCAAAGAGAAGGCTTTCTGGTAACTTTCTACTGACACAAACCAAGAGATTCATTGTTTCCCTTCAAATATTATGGTCTTGGAATTTCAGACTTTTAAAATTTTTACTTTTGTAACACCAGTTTCAATAGTATCTCCTATAGAGACTAAGGATACTGTTACTTTAAGAGGGAATGAAATTTTTCCACATCACAACTAAACTGTCATTTTGAAGTCTCTTTTAACTGTTGTAATTGTTGGAGAAAGACTGAGGACAGAGATAAAGGACTAAGAGAACTTCTTTCCTGAGAGACTGAGTGGTTTAACTATCAAAAAAGGACTGAATTTAACTCTTTTGTCAAGAAACATTAAGTTCTTGAGAAAAGACTTCAGCTGCCATCCTGAGAGAACTAAATGATAGGTCTTGTTTCCAGAGTGATGGTTAGAGGTGACTGTGGCTGTGATCTTTTTTTACAGATGATACATTGTAAATAATAATCTACGTCTTTATTTTATTGTTTATTACATCGTTAATAAATTGTATAACCAGTAACTTTCATGTTTATTTAAGCCTATGAGATTAGGGGATGGGTGAGAAAGAGGAGGGAGGGAAAAGGGGAGAGACAGAGACAGAGACACAGAGAAAGACAGAGAGAGAGAGACAGACAGAGAAAGGAAAGCTTGTGGGAAATGACATTTTCCTGGTTTATTTAATAAGTAACACATAAGAAGGGACAACGAGATGGCACGAAGGGTAGAGCACTGGGCTTGGAATCAGGAAGACTCAACCTTTATGAGTTCAAATCTGGCCTCACTTACTAGCTATGTGACTCTGGACAAGTCACTTAACCCTGTTTACCTCGGTTTCCTCTTCTGTAACATGAGCTGTAGAAGGAAATGGCAAACCACTCCAGTACCTTTGCCAAGAAAACCACAAAATGGGGTCACCAAGAGTTGGTCGTGACTGAAACAATTCAACAATAATAATATATAAGAAACTAAAAGGGAAGCTAAGAACTAATTAATTAATGAGAGACGTTTCCATTTGGTAATTTATAAGGGAATATCAGAACATATCCTTTGATTGCATTTGAATCTGAGATGAGAAATAATAAGAGATTCAATCAATAGCACTGAGAAAGTGGGGATCGACATATGTAGACTAAAACTTATAAACTGAGGTAACCGACTCTAAATCCTGCTATGCTTTTTCCAGCACCCCTTGGATAGTGGAACATTCATGTAACACACTTTCCCTTGATCTTTTAGTGTGAAAAAAAAAAGGCTACTTTAATTCAGAGTGAGGAAATCCCAATGGTACATAGTATAGACATGTAGCAGTTTGCAGGTACACATTTAAACCAGTTTAGGCTGATTTAATTTCTCATATTAAGGTTGATGTGGAGTTGCACAGTTCTAAATACCAGGAGTGAGTGAATAACTATGAGCTCTCTAACTCCTAACACAATGACAACTAACCAACCAAAGTTGATGAATGCATGATCAAGTCTCTCTCTAAATCCAAACAACAGCACAAAGATGAAGTTGTTCCCCTCCTCCTTGGGCAAGGCTACTCTTTTAGGAAGCTGCCTCCTTAAGGTACACTCTGGCAAAAAGAAAAAGAAAAAAAAGCAAAAATCCCCAGCTCCCCACCTCCCATGGCATGGGCTTTCCTCAGCTCACCATTTGGATTTTTAAATGATTGTATTGCTGGATAATAAAATAAAATACAGAGAAAGAAGATCGGAAAGAATCAAAGATAAGCAGGACAATTTTAAAGACTACACTTTAGGGGCAGCTAGTTTGCACAGTGGATAGAGCTCTGGCCTTGGAGTTACGAGGACCTGAGTTCGAATTCAGTCTCAGACATTTGACACTTACTAGCTGTACAACCCTGGGCAAGTCACTTAACCCTGATTGCCTCACCAAAAAGCAAGGAAAAAAAAAGACTACACATTAAACATATAATCTATGTAGCACTTATAAGCTCTCCCAACACACACTTCATCTAGTAGGCTATCAAAGCAAGACTCCCCCCCCCCAACCCCTTCAAGTTCTAGGAATAAACTCTGAAGGTTTAGAGATTCCTTTCTAGTACTATTGTTCAAAATCCCTCATCTATTGTGTTCTCACCAATTAATATCACTCCAACATCATATAATCAATGGACTAATTGATTTCTTCCCAATATTAATTAACCAATTAACATTGATTAGCTTTTACAAAGCTATATTTACTGAGAAAATATCACAAGACCCACAGTACAAAAGCATCCCAGACAGAAAGTACACTCTTCTACCACCTTGGTGCCTGAAGACTCAAAACAAAACTCTTGACCATATTCCCTCCACCAAGCAAATTTCTAAGAGGCATAGCCAAGAGTTGAGACACTCCCTTGCTTTCAGGACAAGGTGATTTGGCTACTGGGTCAATCCTCTACTTTTAAAACTTACAAGGTCATCATTTGATCCATTTTCTTTCTGATATTCATTCATCTAAGATCAGGAAAGAATAGACCCAATAAGAAGAGAAAAAAAAAACATAGGAGTTGTGTCTTTATGGCCTCATGACAGCCAGGAAAGGGAGCTAAGGCAGCTATAGCAGTACCTGCCACTGCTATTGAACCTCTCCCTCTTTCCACCTCTAGGTCCACAACATGCCTTGAGTAGTGGATCATTCATGTAACACACTTTCCCTTGGTCATTTAGTGTAAAAAAAAAAAAAGGCTACTTTAATTCGGAGTGAGGAAATACCAATGGTACATAGTATAGACACGTAGCAGTTTGCAGGCACACATTTAAACCAGTTTAGGCTGATTTAATTTCTCATATTCACTCAAAAGGTTCCAGGGAAGGGGCAGCTAGGTGGCGCAGTGGAGAGAGCACCAGCTCTGGATTCAGGAAGACCTGAGTTCAAATCCGCCCTCAAACACATGACACTTACTAGTTGTGTGACCCTGGGCAAGTCACTTAACCCCACTGCTTAGCAAATTTAAAAAAAAAAAGGCTCCAGGGAGAAAAATGTTTCATCCATTTGTGTCTATTATATGCACATTCAGTTCTGGGGCAGCCAATTTAAAAGCTTTCCATGGCCATGCAGTAGACCAAAAGGAAACAAACTACCTGTGTATATGCTCTAAAGCAGAGACCCCCTCCATCTCTCACATCCAGAAGCAGGCTCACCAAGCCTCTGTGCAAGCTGATATCATGCAGAGCATAAAAAGCACATGCTGTAAGAAGTGGGCCCTTATTGGCTAATCTCCATTATACATGTGTGATAGAGATTCATGATTTCATGTATCAGATTGACCAACATGACAAAACAGGAAAATGATCAATGTTGAAGATGATGTGAAAAAGTTGGGACACTAATGTACTATTGGTGGAGTTGTGAATTAATTCTGGAGAGCAATTTGGAACTATGCACAAAGGATTATAAAACTGTGCAACCTTGACTCAGCAGTAGCACTACTAGGTCTGTATCCCAAAGAGATTTAAAATAAAATTTTTAAAAAGGAACAGGATCTATATAAAAAGATTTATAGCAGCTCTTTTAGTAGTGGCAAAGATTGGAAACTGAGGGGATGCCCATCAGTTGAGGAATGACTGAACAAGTTGATTGTGATGTATGATGTGTGTGCTATAAGAAATGATGAGCAGAATATAATAAAAATGACAATTCTACCTAAATTAATTTACTTATTCATTGCCATACCAATCAAACTACAAAAAATTATTTTATAGAGCTAGAAAAAATAATAACAAAATTCATCTGGAAGAACAAAAGGTCTAGAATATCAAGGCAATTAATGAAAAGAAATGCAAGGAAAGGTGGCCTACCCATACCAGATGTTAAATTGTATTATAAAGCAGCAATCTACAAAACTGTTTGGTACTGGCTAAGAAATAGAGTGGTGGATCAGTGGAATAGGTTAGACACACAAGACACAATAGTCAGTGACTATAGTAATCTACTGTGTGAAAAACCCAAAGACTCCAGTTTCTGGGATAAGAACTCACTATTTTACAAAAAAAAAACTTCTGGGAAAATTGGAAAATAGCATGGCAGAAACTAGGCATAGACCAATATCTTATACCACATAAATAAAGTCGAAATGGGTTCATGATTTAGATATAAAGGCTGATACTATAAGCAAACTGGGAGAGCAAGGATTAGTTTACCTGTCAGATTTATGGAGAAGGGAAGAATTTATGACCAAACAAGAGATAGGAAACATTATGAAATGCAAAATGGATAATTTTGATTACATTAAATTGAAAAGTTTTTGCACAAAGTCAATGCAACCAAGATTAGGAGGGAAGCAGAAAACTGGGAAAGAATTTTTACAGCCAATATCTCTGATAAAGGCCTCATTTCTAAAATGTACAGAGAACTGAGTCAAATTTATAAGAATACAAGTCATTTCCCAATTGATAAATGATCAGAGGGTATAAACAGGCAGTTTTCAGATGAAGAAATTAAAGCTATCTACAGTCATATGAAAAAATGCTCTAAATCACTACCACATCACACATATCAGATTGGCTAACATGACAAAACAGGAAAAAGATAAATGCTGGAGAAGATGTGGGAAAATTGGAACACTAATGCATTGTTGGTGGAGTTGTGAACTAATCCAACTATTCTGGAGAGCAATTTGGAACTATGCCCAAAGGGCTATAAAAATGTACATACCCTTTGGCCCAGCAGTACCACTTCTAGGTCTGTAACCCGAAGAGATCATACAAATGGGAAAAGGACCCACATGTCCAAAAAATATTTATAGCAGCTCTTTTTGTGGTGGCAAAGAATTGTAAATTGAAGGGATGCCCATCAGTTGGGGAATGACTGAACAGGTTGTGGTATATGAATGTAATGGAATACTACTGTGCTATAAGAAATGATGAGCAGACAGACTTCAGAAAAATCTGGAAAGACTTAAATGAACTGATGCTAAGTGAAGTGAGCAGAACCAGGAGAACATTGTACACAGTAACTGCCACAGTGTGCAATGTGTAACTTTGACAGACTCATTTCCTCTCAGCAATGCAAGGATCCAAGACAACTCCAAAGGAGTCATGATGGAAAATGCTGTCCTCATCCAGAAAAAGAACTCACTGGCAAAAGTCATCAGTCTAACAACTCTTCTCTTAATCTTATTGAATTCCAGTGAGTAGGGGCATGAAGGGGTTGAAAAGAATCCCCTCACCATAGTTCCACCCAACTTCTTTTGTATTTTTGCTAAATGTAGGCCCTGTCATGATTTCAAGAAACCCAGGCACCTGATCCAGGAATATGATATGAGTTAAAGGAATTTTAGGCCCATAGCTCAGTTAAAAAAAAAAATGTTTGAGAGTGCCCAAGAGACAAAAGAGGGCTGGAGGGGGAGGGAAGAGGAATAATTTAAAAGAAAGGTCAAAATACCTAAGGTTTTCTTGAGCTAGCTGGCTAGGTGCCTCTGTTTGGAGTGGGGGGGGGGGGTCCTATATCACAAAAATAGTTGAAATGGACCCGAGGACTATACAAGTCCCCTACACAGGAAGAGGCCACATAAAATATGAAAACCAGCAGATGGCAGCACATCAGAAAGGGCAGGTAGGCAGGAAGCTCCACACTAGGGAAGATGATTCAGAGATTGCAACCAGGGGTGTGCTGGAGCCAGCAGGAACCTGCTTGCAAGAGCCTGTGGTGAAATTTTCAGCATGAATATTTATGCTTCAGAAATTGCAAATGCCATAAACCCTACAAATCAAGCTTGATTAATTGCTTTTTTGTTCGTCTAGACTTAAGAAAATTGATGGCAGAGATATTAATAATGCAGATTAAACTTAAAAGTGTGTCCTGTGGGGCAGCTAGGTGGCACAGTAGATAGGGCACCAGCCCTGGAGTCAGGAGGAACTGAGTACAAATCTGGCCTCAGACACATGATACATACTAGCTGTGTGACTCTGGGCAAATCATTTAACCCCAATTGCTTCGCCCTCTCCCCCCCCAAAACGTGTGTCTTGAATACAATTTTTTTTTAATTTTAGGAGAAACAGTCATTAAACATTTACCAACACACCACTGTGATGCTGGTGGCTCTATAGAGGAGCACGGTGTTTATTATTTGTCCTTGGTTCTTAAAGAGCGTCAATGACATCAGGAGAGTGATGTCTTGACCTGCAAGTGAATTGGATTTCAGCGAGGCAGAGCTGTGCAAAGTCATTGGCCCCGCTTTCTCCTCCAGGGACACCTGAGTTCAGCAGCAAGACATAGGTCAGGACAACTGGAGATGACCTGCAGAGGAGCAAGGTGTAGCTTCAAAGACTGAAGCTTCCATTAAGGATGCCACTTTGAGAACACGAGCTGTTCTGGCTAAATGTTTGTGCTGGACATATGAATTCTCTAGTGGGTATCCCTTTCATTCATGTTTCCTGGTTATATGTTTTCTCTAAGAGAAGAGATATCCCTTTGTGTGTGGAGAGACTTTTCTTTGCCCTCTATTTTGCTATGCTATTTAATTTATTGTTTTTTGCTTTGAACTATGCACTGGTCTTGGAACCAGGAAGATTCATCTTCCTGAGTTCAAATCTGGCCTCAGATACTTACTAGCTGTGTGACCCTGGGCAAGTCACTTAACCCTGTTTGCCTCAGTTTCCTCATCTGTCAAATGAGCTGGAGAAGGAAAGAGCAAACCACTCCAATATCTTTGCCAAGAAAACGCCAGAATGGGGTTGCCGAGAGTCGGACCCAACTGAAATGACTGAACAACAAAGGCCATCGCTGAAGGGTTTATATTTCAAGAAGATGAAGAGGTCTTTTCATTGGCTACAAAGCCGGAAGAGCTGATGACTTAGTGGGTATTTAAAAGTGAGTGACCGCAACCAAGCTCAGTTCTTTCTTCCTTTCTGCTTCAATTGAATCAGGATTGTTTTGAGATACTTTCTATGAAGAGAGTGGCAGGAAAAGTAACTTACCCTTTCTGCCTCCATCCCTGGCCTTCATGCAGTCATAAGCATATGGTGTGTAAAAATTATGTCCTGCCTAGGTGAACCTGGATGTAGGCTTGATCTGTATCTTTTGTGATTGTTCTTTACTGACCTTAAGTGAATAGGTGTATATCCTGAGACAGAGGTGTCTACAGTTGGAGGTAACTTTGTGAATTTGAGAGATCTGCAAAGAGTCATCAGCAATTACTCCATCACTCTTAGAAAAAACAGACATCAGGGATTGGCCTACTCTTGGCTATTATACCTGAAGACATGTACAAAGGGTTGTTAATACAGAACAGAAGTGAATTGTAAAATGTTCAATCAGCAATCTTACAAACAGCTTTATGTTCCAACAAGGTCTAAGTATCAGTCTCCCAGCAGATTGTAACAATAGTTAATTTACTGAGTTCTGTTTTAAATTGTTCTGTTAATGGGCATTATCAGTATTTTATGTTTAGCATTTCTTTTGCATGTAGGAAATAAATATCTGCAGTGACATATTGTGCACTGTATATCTTTCTACTTCCTCTTTTTTGGGGAAATCCTAGATGTGATCCATTACCTAAGCGTAGGCGAATCACCTCACAGCACCAATGTCTGGGAGTTAAAGAGCTGAAAAGTTTAAGTATTTGGGAGTCTAACATCTCTCATTAGAGGCCGGGCTGCCCCAGAACTGAACCTCATCCAAACCTTACATGCTTGGGTCCGGACAGAATGGCCCTTTAGCGAAAAAGAGAATAATACAGCACCCCAGTTCTTGTGGGCTAAGAGAAGTTCCTTATCGTTACAGAGGTGGTCTCAATTATCTAACTTAGATCTACTGGTAAATCACTTTTCTTACTTCACTACATGGTCTAGTTTAATGATAAACTCCAAAGACCAACTAAATGCAGTTTTTCATCATGCTAAGAGACTGGGCTGGAAACTCAGAATACTCAAATGAATCTATGACCTTACCAATTTCTATATTCCTTGACCTCATCAATTTTGATATTCCATGACCTCATCAAGTTCGATATTTCTTATAATAATGCTGATCACAACCCAAAACACCTACTCATCCTGGATGACTCTTACCCACATCCTCCCATGAGTTTGTCAAAGGGAGTTAATCCAATTTGCTAAGGGCCTTCCTCAATTTCATTTAACAGCTCTCGGAGAATGATTCCAGAGGACTGACGATAAATCATCTCCTGACAGAGGTGATGGACTCGGGGTGCAAAATGAATCATACTTTTTTGGGACATGGCCAATGCAGGAATCTATGTGGCTCAATTGGGCATATTTGTTAAAACGGGTTTTGTTTTCCTTTTTATTTTTTCCTGGGGATGTGGGAGGGAGACAAAATAGATTTTTGTTAATTAAAATTATAAAATTAAATTAATGTTTTTTTCAATCTCTAGGATAACAGTGGAACATACAAGCTGTTTGGCAAGGAAAATACTTAGAGGAAACATGGGAACAAGATCACAGATCTCAAGTATGTGCAAAGTTGTCATGGAGAAGAAGGATGAGGCTTGCTTTGCTCAGCCTGAGAGTAGAACTACTTGGGTTCTTCTGGAAGCTGGGAAGAGGCAAATTTAGGCTTAATTTAAGGAGAACATGCTAACAATAAGAGCTATCACAAAGTGGAATTAGTTAGCCTAGGAAGGGCTGAGTTCCCCTCACTGAAAGTCCTCAAGTGAAGACTGAATGACCACTTGTTGAGTATGTTGTAAAAGAGATCCAAGGTCAGTTGGACTAGAACAGGGGTGGGGAACCTGTGACCTTGAGGGGCCACATGTGGCCCTATGGGTCCTCAAGTGCAGCCCTTTGACTGAATCCAAACTTCACAGAACAAATCCCAAGGATTTGGATTCAGCTTGGATTCGGTCAAAGGGCCACACTTGAGGACCTAGAAGGACACATGTGGCCTTGAGGCCCCAGCTTCCCCAACCCTGGACTAGACAGCTTCTGAAGTCCCTTCAGTTCTGAGATTATGTGATGCTAAAATTCTTTGTTTCTATGCTTTAGGGCTGTATTTCTGTGTCCAGAGCAACCTTCCCTAACAGGGACCTGAGCACCAGAACCACAAAATCATTTCCAGTATTTGGATGGACACTGAGGCATACTTCACCTTTCCCATCTCTTCCTTCCAAGAACTCAACTTGTTGTGAACTTAAAATGAAGTCTTTGCCCAGCTAGATACCATTATTAGTAAATTCTAGTAAATACCTGCCTTCCAGTCCCCAAAGTCAGACCATTCCATTACAAGTCAAGCCAAATCAACAAGTATTTATTAAATGCCTACTATGTGCCAGGCACTAAATAGGAAGTGCTTAAAATCAAAGTGGGGTTTAAAAGCCCAGTGATGTTATAATGAAATTAAAACCATATCCAAATCTTATCCATCCTTTAAATATGGTGGGATGCTTGTAATGGAAAGAGCACTAGATTTAGAATTAGTAGTTGGGAGTTCAAATTCAGCTCTGGCACTTATACTACCAGCATTACCTTGAGTCTCTCTGGGCCTCAGTTTCCCCATCTATAAAATGAGGGAGTTGAACAATCTCCAAGGTCCTTTCTGACTCTAAATCTTATGATTCCATAATCGTCAATTCCATCTTCCCTCCAAAGTGTTCCCTGGACCCTTAGGTCCATAGCTATCTCTACAATTCTGATTCCCCATATCACCATCCAGAGCTTCCCCCTTATCTAACAAAACCCATTCTAATTCTACGTCCCATTCCTCTGCCTTTAAGGTTTACCAAGTGCAACCAAGTACTACAACAACCCTGGGAGGTAGAGAGCCCCAGTCATTCATTTATAGTGTTTCCTTGGTCAGGTCACTTCTTCCCTCAGGGTTCTCTTGTCCTACATCTATGCTATGGGGATAATAACAGCTGATTACAGAATAAATTACACAATTAATAATAATAATAGCCAGCATTTATGTAGCACTTTTAGGTTTGAAAAGCATTTTACAAATATCATCTCATTTTATTCTCATAATAACCCTGCTATTGTTATGCCCATTTTACAGATGAGGAAACTGAGGCAGATGGAGATTACGTGACTTTCTCAGATTTGAATTCAAGTTGTCCTGACTCCAAGCCCAGCACTTTAGCCACTGCAATGCCTAGCTGCCTAAAGGAGAAACTGGAATAGTGTGTGTAAAGGAGTTTGGGGAAAAAATAAAGCTGAATACAAGTATAAGCTATCAATATTAATGTTTCAATAGCCCCCTAATCTCATTCTTCTAGGTATGCCTCCAGCAGTGCAGATCACAACTCATCCATGCTTCTTCAACCTGTGCAACTTTTTTTTTTATATTGGCGAGGCAATTGGGGTTAAGTGACTTGCCCAGGGTCACACACCTAATAAGTGTCAAGTGTCTGGTCTGAGACTGAATTTGAACTCAGGTCCTCCTGACTCCAGGGCCAGCACTCTATCCACTGCTCCACCAAACTGCCCCTAACCTGTGCTCCTAACCCTTTTGTCCATGTATCCCCATCAATCCTCTCCATAGGAGTATATCCAAGGCCCTAAGAGCCTTCCCCTTGGTAAATCTTGTAGGATGCTATAGGTACCATGGTATAGGTACCAAAGCTATAATTTGGTACATAGGTTGGACCACATTTTTTTCCAATCATGTATTTAATGAATGACAATCTTTTATGTCACTCGCATGTAGCTCACTGGTAATATGGCAAGAGCCCATTTACAGCCATCATCCATCTCTTATTTGTTCTTTGGATCACCTACAATTTTGATTCTTTAGAGAACATAGCATCCCATAATTTGCACAGAATAATATTATTTAACACAATAATATTATTCTATATAATATTATTTAATATAATAATATTATTTCACTAGAATCTCACTATGGCATGGGAATGACCCTAGATTCTTAAAGGCATGGGCCTGCAGGTCCTACCAAGTTGAAAAACTCAGTCATTCAGGTAATAAGCATTTATTAAGCACTCATTATATGCCAGGCATTGTGCATGTTCTGGGGATACAAACATGGGCAAAGTCCCTGCCTTTGAAGAGCTCACAATCTAACAGGACAGACAACATGCAAACAACTATGGACTGGCTAATATGGAAATATGTTTTGCATGACTTCACATGTATAATTGACATTATATTGTTTGCCTTCTCAATGGGTAGGGAAGGAGCAGGAGGGAAGGAGAGAGTTTGGAACTCAAAATGTTAAAAAATGAATGTTAAAAATAAATATTTTTTTAAAAAACCAACTACATACAAACAAGCCAAATAGGGCATAATCAGCAGAGGGAATTTACTAGAATTAAGATAGATTGGGAAAGGCCCAGAAATGAACTGTGTGTCTATCATCCAAGGACCAGACTGGCTAAGTTTAGAGTGCCTCCACACAAGGCTTCCCACAAGGTGATGAAATTTTTTGTCAAACCAGCTCTTGAAGACTGTCTACTGAGCTTTAGATGAGTTGAGCTCTATATAATCAAGAGATTCCCTACACCAATAAAATTATAGACCCTTCACATTTTGTCATTAATTCATAATAACATGGGGTCATGCCAAGGATATAACCGGATCTCTAGAGGGTCCAGGTCTCAGGAACAATTGCCTTCTAGCTTAGCAGCAGAAGGAAGGGGATCAATGATGCAAAGAGCAGGAAATCTCCTGTCCTAGCACCCAGGTAAGGTGATACTTTCAGTTCTTCAGAGCAAAACACACAGGACACCCAGCACCAAGATTATGCAGTGATGCAGAAGAGGACCAGGTGGATTATAGAAAGAGGTATAGAAAGAGGTTTCCTAACCCTGATATCAGAGGCACCAATCAGCAAGGTTACAAGGGGGAAATGGTCGTTTGCAGTAAAGAAGATTCCAGATACGGGGGTCCAGAGAAAGGGCAAGGTGGAGGTCCCAGGCAGGAATAAGAAGTCTTTCTCTAGCACAGATAGTCAGCGAAAGACCAGTCCTGAAAACAACTGATTTTTCTTTTCTTTTCTTTTCTTTTTTTTTTTTTTGCTAGGCAATGGGGTTAAGTGACTTGCCCAGGGTCACACAGCTAGTAAGTGTTATGTGTGTGAGGCTGGATTTGAACTCAGATCCTCCTGATTCCAGGGCCGGTGTTCTATCCCCTGTGCCGCCTAGCTACCCCAGAACTGATTTTTCTGAACTACCAAACTTGGCATCCCCATGAGTAGGTAAGAAGCCTCTTCCTCCTGTGTCTCCTCAATGAAGAGGTTTTGTTCTGGCTCTGGATCCAATTTGTAGGCTCACACCCACCCAAATCTGCTCTGGCTTGGCAGACTCCAAAAATTGGAGAGAGAGAGAGACAGAGAGAGAGAGAGAGAGAGAGAGAGAGAGAGAGGAGAGAGGGGAGAGAGAGAGAGAGGAGAGAGGGGAGAGAGAGTGAGAGGAGAGAGAGGTGACACAAAGACATGCAGAAAGGAGCTTCACAATGACATAGGCTCAGTTCCCTGGGTCTGTGAACCCAGGCAGCATTCCCAGATGGAAACATCCAACCCACCCTTCCCACCCTCCAAATGAGAATGAATTTTCTCCACATGGATGGAGACAGAGACACTGACCCCAGGACTTCAGTTCTGTCCTGAAGTTAGCTACTGGGGAGAGAAACCCTGGTCAGAAGTAAAGAATGGATAGCCATAGTCAGAGTGAAGTAGGCGGGCCCAGGTCTTGGCAGCTTTAAAAGGGAAGAGAGAGCCCAAGAAGGGAGCTGAAGGCCTGTACACATAGTGACCCGCAAAATCAGGCAGGTGGTAGTGGAAAATCTAGGAGGAGCGATCTCTTTAGGCATTCTGAACCTGGGATCTGCGACCTTGGTTTTCATAAATATTTTTATAACTGTACTTCAATATGATTGCCTTCCTTTGTAATCCATTGTATTTTATTTTATGTATTTAAAAATATTATTCAGAGGAGGGGGCCTTTGCCAGACTGCCAGAGGGGACTATGACAGAAAAAAGATTCAGAAACCCCAGTTTAAAATGAACCTAGAGAAGAAGGCCCATCCAGGGACTGTCACAAGTATGATTATAGGATTGTAATTTCTCTTTATTTCTCTCCTCCCTACTGAAGTACTATAGTATGCCCCCAACCCAGAAGATCATGTTAGTTAAATCAATGTTACAGTGTTGTGACCAAATATATTTAAATCTCTATAAATGTGTCTATGAATATGTCAGAGGGAAAGAGTTTCCTTAGCCTGTGGGAGGAGGTGAAGGGGGGAAGGTGTCTGGGGTTGGGGGCTGGAAGAGGGCCAAGACAGATGGGGAACTTCTCAACCAAGTCCAAGTACTTGCCAGATGAGAGACTGGGCTGGTCCTCCCCACCTCCAGTCTGCCTCTGGCCAATGTCAGCAACACCTCTCCAACTCTCCAGGTCTGAGCTAATCTGGGATACTGGGGGTGCCCCAGCTTCTCTCCTGCCTAAAGATTGCAGTGTCTCCTGCCCTAGAGATGTCTCTACACAAAAGAGATTATGGAGGACAGGCAAAGGCAGTGTGAAGGCATGAGGAGGGAGACAGGATACCTACATACAGTCACACACAATGAAGAATGCCATCCACCTCCTGACAGAGGGGTGATAGGCTCAAGATACGTAATGAGGCACACGTTTCTGAATACAGCCAAATTGGGAATTTGTTTTGCTTGACTATACATACAGGGGACTAGTGGCAGAAACAAGAGAAGATAAATGCTTGTTAATTGAAAATAATAATTTAAAATACTAAGGTGTAAAACAAAATTTTATGGAAATTATACAACTTTTATACTTGTAATTATATAAAATTAAAGAATATATAAATTATATCATTTCTATAAATTTATTTTATAATTTTTATTATTTTTAATACATTCAAAATTATTAGATAAATTTTATAAATTAAAAATAAAATTAAACTATTTTTAAAATAATAAAAACATTTATATAGTCATACCTTCAACATCACTCACCACTCCCCCCCAATATCATTTCACTTTCCACTCCCCTCTAGCTGAAGCCAAGGGTGGGGTGTGGTCAGGAGTTTTTCCAGGCTGGGCCAGTTCAACCTGACCCAACATAGCAGGAAATGGGGTGGGGGTGGGTGTTGGGTCCTAGGGTGGAAAGAGGGGCAGGGCATGGAGCATTTCTGAACAGTTTAAAATTGAAAACATGTAAATAATATGTGTGACAGACCAGGTCTATTGAGGCTGAGATTGATGGGCACTGGGGGACGGCAACCCCTGGCCCTTCCTGTTTAGAGGGCTCCAGCCCTTGATTTCCATGTTTGGAATTTATACAGGTCCAGACCCTCCCCCCAGAGCCCTGCCCCAGGCCCCTAGCCCTGTGCAGGGGCAGCAGAAAGGTCACAGGTAGTCCCAAAAGGATCCAACCAGCAGTTACTTTCAGGCCCCACCAGCCCATTGTAAGCCAGTAGGGTTCATAGTAGGCTGGGCGGTAAGGGAGTGGGGCCTGGAGCAGCCAAGCCATTTGACAGGTAGAGGAGATCACAGGATGACAGAGCTGGAAAGGAGACCTCAGAGATCATATGGTGCAGTAGAAACAGTGGCAGATGTTAGAATCAGAAGACCTGGGGCCGAATGCTAGCTCTCCTACCTACTGCAGGTGTGACCTTGGGCAAGTCACTATTCTCTGTGGCTTAGGTTTCTCATCTATAAAACAAGTGGAGTGAGCTAGATCCAGGATTCTTAACCTGGGGTCCATGAACTTTTTTTTTTATAACTTGTATCAATGTAATTGGTTTCCTATGTATTTTATTGTATACATTTTAAAACATTCTTCTGAGAAGGGGTCCATAGGCTTCACCAGATTATGAAAGAGGGTAACAATACAAAAACAGTTAAGAAACCCTGGTAGATTAGATGATCTCTAAAGTCACTTCTGAATCAAAAATTTATGATTTAATCCAACCTTTTCTCTTTCTAGATGAAGAAACTGAGAGCCAGATAGTACTGAATTGCCCAAGATTCCCTAGATATTAAGGGTCAAGGCCAGGATTCAAAGCTTTGTCTTCTGACACTAAGTCCAGGCCTCTTTTTTTTTCCTCCTCTGGCAGCAATTTGGGTTAAGTGACTTGCCCAGGGTCACACAGATAGTAAATGTTAAGTGCATGAGGTGGAGTTGAACTCCTGTCTTCCTGACTCCTGGGCGTTGTTCTATCCACTGCACCACCTAGCTACCCCTCAGGCCTCTTTCCACTCACAGGTGTTATCATGGTGCCTCTTATGTAGGACAGAAGATAGCCCAGCCCATGATTGGAGGTGAAGGACATTTTCTCTGCTCCTTGATACTGTGGGAGGTCAGGCTGGGATTCTGACTAGGGAACTCTGCCCAGAAAATGAATCCCTGAACAGGGGACAGGAGCACCAAGGATAGACAGGAGGAGGGGATGAAAGTAACAGCTGGGTGATAAATCAACTTCCACCCAAAGGGGGAATAACAGCTGAAAGGAAATACCAGCCCCACCCCACTCTAAACCACTGGGGTAGCCACCCCTGCCCTAGATATTAGGCAACAGGATAGTGCCTATGGGCTCAAGCAACATTTAAAAAATAAATAAATAAAAACAGAGTCGTTCCACAGGATTACAAAATATGGGGGTTTAGAGTTCATAGATTCAAAGGTATAAAAGACCTTAGAGGTCATCTAGTCTAATTATCCCGTTTTACTAATGGGGAAACTGAGGCACAGACAGCAGAAGTGACTTATCAAGCCTCACCTAGCCAGGTAAAGCCAGGACTAGAACCCAGGCCTTAGCCTTCTCCCAATCCTGTGTTCTTTTCCACTTATCAGCAACTCAGCTCGGAGCTTCGTCCCACAACCCTTCAATTAAGAATCTTTTGCCCCTTTGACCTAGAACTCCCACAGCTAGGCAAATACCCCAAAGAAACTGAAGACAGAAAGAAGGGTCCCATGTGCGTCAAAACATTCATGGCAGTGCTTTTTTTGGTGGTAACTGAGAACTTGGAACAAAGTAGATACCATCCACTGGGGACTAACTAAATAAATTGCGGTACATGAATGTAATGGAATGTCACTGAGTTCAAAGAAATGAGGAATAGGAAGAATTCAGGAAAGTGATAGATATGCCCCAAAAGAGCATCAATAAAACATTTTAAATAAATAGGAGAAAACATAATAGTACAGAAGGGGACCCCAAGATAAAGCAGTTTTGTTATTACTTTGCATATATATATATGTATACACACATAAATGTGTGTATATATCTCTAAACATATGCATATATGTGTATATGTGTGTATATATGTATACATATGTATATACGTGTTGTTCAGTCATATCCAACTTTTCATGACCCCATGGACCATAGCACACCAATATTGTCTGTGGGGTTTTCTTAGCAAAGATACTAGAGTGATTTGTCATTTTCTTCTCTGGTGAATTAAGGCAAACAGAGGTTAAGTGACTTGCCCAAGGTCACACAGCTACTAAGTGTCTGAGGCTGAATTTGAACTCAAGTCTTACTGATTCTAGGCCCAGCTCTCTATTCCCACCTAGCTGCCTCTAGGTGTATATATGCAAGGATATATGTACATATGCACACATTATTATATTATATTACATTATTATATCATATCATATTAGCTTCATTTTACTCCCTCCAGTCATCTTCCCTGTAACATCCTCCTCCACAATCACTTTGCTCATGAGCCCTTCCCCATCCCCTGCAATTCTGGAACCATGAACCAGAATTAAATCCAATCTGCAACTACCATTCTTGAACAGGATGTCAAACTATGCTCCTAAGGCCCCATTCAACATCCCTATGACTTTGCAGACCATTGTGATTGTCCCTCTATGGGAAACATTCCCCTATGTGGGTTGTCTCCCCATGTAGGAAGCAACCTCTTTCACGGCAAGAAATGATAGCCTTTGCTCTTGTGTTCTTATCCCCAGATAGTACATTGCTTGGCATGTGGTGAGCACTTAATGAATGAATACTTTCTATATACTCCTTAAAAACCAAACCATATATACCATAAATTCTGTTTCCCATATAAGCCTTCTTATTCTTTGTAAATTAAAATGTTTGTGTTTGTTGTCAATTGTTAATTGCACAATAAAGAAGGAAAATTTAATTAAAAAGTAATTGAGGGAAGTGGTAAGAGTTATATATAATACGAGATGATCAGATCCAGGAAAACATTATACCCAATGACCGCAGCCAACTAAATGGAAAGAACAGAGAAACTGAAACAATGCTGTGCAATTATAATCTTCAATGTTTATCTAGAAAGAGTCAAGAAAATGTACCTTCCTCCCTTCTTTGCAGAGGTAGGAGCCAATGGGTATGAAACATGGCATACACTGTCAGACTTCATTGATGGGATGTTTAGTTTTGCTGAGCGGCTTTACTCCTCTTTCTTGATTTATTACAAGGGAGGGCTCACTGGGTAGGGAATGGGGTAAGCACATATGTGGAAATGAGTGTGATGTAAAAACAAAACATGTCAACTTTTTAAAATGTAAGTCTTTTACTTTGCTGCCTGAGCTGAGCTCAGAATATCTTCTTATGTCTGTAATATCAATCCTAGAGCTGTCTGTCTGGGAATGTGGCTTCTCCAGGGGTTCTACTCTCCGAGTCTGATGCTCTCATTCAAAAATGGGTGGGTGGGGAAGAGAAGTGAAAGACTTAATGTTTGTTTGTGTGATGGAGGAGAGAGTTACTATCCTGTCTCCTAGTTTTCAGGACGGGTGGGAGGGGATTTCTGCCTTCCCTATAGCTCCTTGGTCCCCACATTAAGATGGGCAGCTAACCCTCTCCTCCATTTCCCATCTGGAAACAGAGATCTGAAAGCGGGGGACATGATCTTAGGGAACAGAGACATAATGCATAGTATGAATTCTGAGAAGTCAAGCAGGAGTCAGACTGTATCTCTGCCCCCCTCCCAAACATCCCCCTGGGGGGGGAGGAGCCAACTGGTCAGGCTACCCCTGTCCCTTTAAGAGAGAAGAGCGCTCCAGCCCATCCTGACTACTGTTCTCTCCCCCTTATGCTGGCCAAATCCCAATCGGACAGGAAAATGAAAGATTGAAAGAGAAAATGAAAGAGCAAAAAGGTCCCTACCTCCTCCTGGGCTTCTGCAGCCCACTCCTCTGATCTCCTTAGCCCAGGGAGCTGCAGCTGCCTGGTAAGCAGGAGTGGGGCATATAGGGGGAGGGTAGTTGGGAAGGGAGACACACTTGATGAAAGTTTGAAATTAAATTTAATTAAATAAAGTCTGGAAGTGTGGGATGGACCCCACGGAAGGATAGAAAGGTAGGTGATCTAGAGTTCCCCAGTCAGGTGGTAGGGCAGTTAAGTAGTTAAGGATGGGGACTCTGGAGTCGGGGGAGAGGGGAAAGTGAGAATAGGGGGATGGAGAGAACACATAATAACCAGGAAAGAGATTCCAAGGAGGGAGACTGGATAAAACTGGAGCACAGGGAACATTAGGGAAGATGGCTGGAGGAGGGGGAAATGGGAAGGCACCCTGGTTTGGGACAAGTGTCAACGTCACTACCCTTCAATGTCATTGTCCCTCTACCCCTCAACCCTGGGCTGGGATTTTTGTTCTTAACCCTGTTGGGTTGGGAAAGGGGAATAGGAATGAAAAAGAGGCAAACCATCAGGAGAAAGGGATTCTGGGGCAACGTGGTTCACAACTCTCTGAACCCTTTTGCCGAAGTCTAAGCTCAGCCTAGAGACACCTGATCCAACTCAGACTAGTCTTTCTGGGCTGCAGGGACGGGGCAAAGCTTGGGAATTTTGTAGTGTGGGAGTTGGGAGTGGGGGCGGGGGGGGCACTTAGGAGGTATGCCTCCCTCTCCAGCCACTCTAACCAGGCTCTCCCTCCCATTGGCTCCTCAGGGTGCCCAGTACTGCCATGGGGGAATGGGCCTTCCTGGGCTCCCTGCTGGACTCAGTGCAGCTGCAGTCTCCCCTGGTGGGCCGCCTGTGGCTGGTGGTTATGCTGATTTTCCGAATCCTGGTGCTGGCCACGGTGGGAGGTGCCGTGTTCGAGGATGAGCAGGAGGAGTTCGTGTGTAATACTCTGCAGCCTGGGTGTCGCCAGGCCTGCTATGACCGCGCCTTCCCCATCTCCCATTACCGCTTCTGGCTCTTCCACATACTGCTGCTCTCTGCTCCTCCCGTGCTGTTTGTCATCTACTCAATGCACCAGGCCAGCAAGGGCCCCAGCCCCCAAGGGAATGGGGAGAGGGAGCAGGAGGAGGGAGATGGCAACCACAGCCAGCACCGGGCAGGGCCCCGGGCTCGCCACTGCTACCTGCTGAGCGTGGCACTGCGTCTGCTGGCCGAGCTGGGCTTTCTGGCAGGGCAGACGCTGCTGTACGGCTTCCAGGTGGCACCGCACTTTCTCTGCACTCAGACCCCGTGCCCCCACACCGTGGACTGCTTTGTCAGCCGGCCCACGGAAAAGACAGTGTTTGTGGTCTTCTACTTTGCAGTGGGGCTTCTCTCTACCCTCCTCAGTGTGGCCGAGCTGCTCCATCTCTTCTGGAAGGGGCAACGAAGCCGAGACAAAGATTCCCTGTGGCCGGGCAAGGGGGGCACGGGGGAGAAAGATAACCACTGCAACCAGGAGCAGGAAGAGGCCCAGAAACTTCTCCTGCCACTCTCCCCCCCAGGAAGGGCCCCTCCACTGGGTCCTGCTCCGGACGCCCCACCTGCCTATGCCCACAAGCTGAAACAGAGTGGCAGTGAGATCAGCACCAGCAGGAGCAAGTCCTCAGTGTCCACAGTCAGAGAGGACCTATCCATCTAAAGAGGCACCCTGCCCCTAGCTCGAAGATGGGGGCATCTGTGAGGTGGGAGAAATGAAGATGTGGTAACAGGCCAACCTCTGCCCTGGATGGTCAAGAGCAGGAAGCTGGTGGCTTGGGGAAGAGGATCCTGGATACAAAGCCAGGAAATCTGCATTTAATCCAGATCTTGCCTCTGATTTGCAGTGTGGCCTTGAGCCACTCGCTTCCTCTCCTGGGTCTGAGGTTGCTGCTCTATAAAATGATGGGGAGGGATATTTAAAGTTCCTTCTTAGCTCTAACAGTCTATGGTTCTATCTGTCCCTTTGAGGTCAATGGTAGAGAAGGCTTAGGGCGAGGCATTCCCACCCTCCAGGTTCCCCCAGGTAACTCCCCAGACAGAATACAAGAACCCTACTTGCATTGTGGACTATGGGGTGTGCTGTAGGACTACCGGAGGTATGGAAAAGGGGGAGAGACTGGGTGAACAGGCTGCTTGTTATCTTGTAGACCACCACAACAATTGTGATTTGTGGTCAGCATTAACTAGACTCTGCATTTCACGTTATGCCACCTTAGGGCTATTGTGTGGGCTTGTGTCTGGTGTATGGTGTGATGGTGTGCCTATGTTACTAATGTTACTCTCAGGGCCTCAAGCAGAGCAGAAAGATATGCTTGCCAGCTTTCGCTCAGTCCCAAAGACCCAAGGCTCTTCTACACAAAATCATCCTCTTCTCACATTAGCAAAGTAGGCAAAGCTGGAAGGCAGGTAGGGCATGTCCCACCCCAGGCTGTGTGGTGCCCTGTTAAGATGGCCCAAGATGTTCGTTATGACCCAGTTTCCCTTCAACCTACTGGGGATGAGAAACTCATAGCATGATTTTTCCTCTCTGCAACCCCAGTCTACCCACTTGTTTCTCAGTGCAAATGTATTCGTTGGTCCGTCTCTCTGTCCTGTGTGTGTTTTCTTCTCCCTTCTGAATTATCACAGCAAATAGAGTGCTATATTTGGAGTCAGAGGTGTGTTTAGTTGCTTCAGCTACACCTGACTCTTCATGACCCCATTTGGGGTTTTGTTGGCAGATGTTGAAGTGGTTTGTCATCTCCTCCTCCAGCTCATTTGACAGATAAAGAAACTGAGGAAAACAGGGTTGAGTGCCTTTCCCAGGGTCACACAGCTAGTAAGTGTCTGAGGCCAAATTTGAACTCAGGACTCCAGACCCGGCACTCTGTGCACTACGGCGCCACCTAGCTGCCCACTGGAATCAGAGGACCTAGGTTCAAATCCCAGCTCTACTAATTTTCTACCTATGTGAACCTTGGGCGAGTCAGGCATCAGGAGGCAGTGTGGCATAATATGGCCATGGGTGTCAGGAAAACCTGGGTTCAAGTCCTATCTTAGATCCTTACTAGCTGTGTGACCCTTAGCCTCTCTGACCCTCAAATTTTCTTATCTGCAAAATTAGGGGTTTAAGCTAGGTGATTTCTAAGGTTCTTTCCAGCTCTAAATCTATCATCTGTCCCCACTTGTGTGTGTTCATGATGTGTGACCCAGATCCCAAGCCCTCCTACCCACCCATAACCAAAATCAGGTTACCCAGTCAGAGCAGGAAAGGGCTCCCCTCCCCAGCTGCCCTGTGCCGATAAGGGTCCAAACAGGAAGGGGAGGGGAGAGGAAGGGAGGAAGAATAACTGAGGGAGGGATGGGGGCGGGGGAATGACTCTCCTAAGCCAACACTAACCTCAGGTGGGGAGGACAAGCAATGGGAAATCATCTGCTCTCTCACCTTCTGGCCTAGTACAGTAGGCACAAACTGAGCCCTTTGCCCTAAGTGAGGAGGAGTGGCAGGCAGGGCGACAATAGGAACTGATGGGAGAAAAAGCAGGGGACAGTGTGCTTTGAGGGTCTGGGGGGAGTCAGTGGCTAGCTCAGGATGGCCAGCACCCAGGGAGAGGGAGGGAATAAAATATCAGAGGCAAGACAGATGCTGGCTGGTGGGCCACTGCTGCCATCCGGCAGCTGAGAAGGGAGCAGCCCCAGCAGGCAGGCCTTGAACGGTACCAGAGAGCCTGCCCTTCTCAGCCTGGCCCCTGTTCTAGGGCAGTCTGGGAGTGCCCGAGATACCAGGCCACGTACTGCTGCTCCCTACCCTTTTTACCAGAAACATAGCAAACAGAGCCCTTCTTTGCCCTCCCCGCCATCCCAACACATACATCCTTTCCCAAGCTAAGGCTCCAATCCCCTTTGCCTCCATCCCACCCCTATTTAGACCAGCTGGTTGCTACAATGAGTACAGACTTAAGGGCCTGCCCCAAGTCCCTAGGTGGACTGGGTTACATTTCTTCCATTAGTTAGCTGCTCATGACCTTGGACAAGTGACTTGGCGTCTTTGGCCTCCGTTTCTTCCTCTGCAAAATGAAAGTAGAACTCCAGTGGCTTCCAGCTCTAACATTCTAGGATCACACCCCTAGTACATTCCCCAGTGTTCATCCAGAACTGCTATATCAGTCAGTGTTCCTGGAAGATAAAGCCTCTATCTGAAGACTGCTACTCCCCTCCACCTGACCTCTGGGTGCCCCCCCC